AAAAAGCCACTTTTCACTCACATAAATTTGAATGGTTTTAAAATATATATTAATTAAATAATTAAAACTAAAACTAAAACACTTAAAAAGTATACTCTACCAATATTTAGAAAAATTTCTTAGCTCCTACATACTAACGAACATTATGTTTACTCATCTGTTCTTCCTAAAATCTCTTGTTCTCCCTTCTTTAAGATGCTAGTAGAATTCTGGCTTGTATACTCCTGTAGGTATTACTTTGTGAAGTCAAACCATTTCTAATTAACTGTAATCTCCAATTTGATTCTTCATAATCAGTATCATACTTTTACTGAATGTTTACTTGACATAGTAGAATGTGTTAGAGGTTACTTATAATTTGTCTAAAACATAGTCTTGTTTTTAATGGACTTGTTAAGGTAGGAATATCTGCAAAATGAACACAGATGTATGCATAAACACACAAGTGCACGTGCATGTGCACACAAACTCACACATGTACACAAAGTATTAGTTCCAAATAATGGTGTAAGAAGCAAGTTCTTTAGAAGTGTAGAGCAGAGTTGGAGCAGAGTACAAGATTCTGAGAGTGTAATTCCCTGGGAAAGCCTCTTGGAAAAAACAGTACTAGTCCTATAAGGAAAGGTAGAATTTAGGTAAGAGAGAAGAGGGGAAACACAAAAGGGAAAGGGCAGAAATTCAAATAGTGTGAGGGAAATAAATGCATTAATTTGGAAAAGGTCTTTATTCAGGAAACTGAATCAAGCAAAAACTGGAGTGGAAGAAAGGGGTTAAAATATGGAGTATGGAATATAAATGATAATTTGGCATCTCTTGTTCTCCACCGTTTTTAAGAAGCACCAGAAAATATCTATTTCACTCTTCTAATGCTTCATAAATATATCTTTTCTACCAACCTCAGGTATATATTCATATTCTACCATGAAGAATTTTACTATAATGGAGTTGATTTAAAAGACTAATCAAAAAAAGCATCAGTGTTTTCTCCTGAATCTAATGGTATTTAGGTTCTTAGATTTCCCAAGTAAAATGCTGAATTCTCCATCTTCCCTTTTGAACCTTTCTTCTTGTGTCCTCTCTTTCTCTTTACAGACTTTCAAAGTACCTATGATTTTTTCTAATTTTCATCTTTATCCCTAGCATTCAATTGGTCATCTTGTTCTGGTATTTCTTTTCACAGCAATTCTTATATGGATTCTTTGCTCTCAACTCCTAATCTTGTACTTATGTTAGATACTACATACTGCAAGAATTTTCTGCTTCTAATCTCTCCCAATTTCAGAATATCCTCCTATAAATGAGTTTCATTAAGTCACGGTTCATTCAGTACACTTTGAGATTACTCTTCCTAATGTATACCTCTGATCATGCCAAACTCAAGCTGATAACATTAACAAACTGTATACTGACTGAAACAAATACCATAGCTTGATATTTAAGTCACTCAACAGTCTGGTTCCATTTTCTATATTCTAAATTCTATATTCCTTTGTACATTCTAAATTCCTGACAAAACTAATACCCAATGTTTTCAAGACACATATGGAAAGTCCCTAATTCTGGGTTGGTGATGTTCTATCTGAACTGTTCATTGCCTACAACTTCAGATAACGTTTTATCTCAAGAATCCTTTATTCCACTGACTCAGTAGTGTGCTACCTATTATAAATCCTTGTGTCATATTGTTTCATTTTTTATTTTATATTTAGAGGCAGATAGGGTCTCACTCTGTGGTGTAGGCTGGAGTTCAGTGGCATGATCATAGCTCACCGTAACCCTGAACTCCCTAGGCTCAAGCTGTCCTCCTGCCTGAGCCTCCTTAGTAGCTAGGACTATAGATAGGCACACAACACACCCAACTAATTTTTAAAATTATTTTTGTAGATACAGGGTCATGCTATGTTTTCCAGTCTGGTTTTGAACTCTTGGCCTCAAGCAATCCTCCCACTTTGACCTCCCAAAATGCTAGGATTACTGGTATAAGCCACTGTGCCTGGCCTCATATTGTTTCACTTCTATGGATCTGCTTACTTTTTCAATTATGAGAAGAGAAAGAAGGAAAATAAAATGAATTGCCAATGAAACTAACCACAAACTTATGGAGTGCCTTGAAAAAAGTATTAAAATGCAAAATACAAAAATATTTTCATATTATTTATAGACTCATTTTTATTAAGAGTGAGGTATTACAAGAAGTAATGTAAATCAGTACCTATTTGCACACAACACTATGCGAGACACAGACACAAGGAGCAATTATTATGTTCCAGGAACTCATTTCATTTGCAAGAATCTTATGAAGTAAGAAGCATTATATTATGACTTACCTCAATTTCAGCTGAGAAAACTGAGGAAAAGAAATGTTAAGTAACTTGCTCAATCCCACTTGGCTATTAAGTATTGAATCTGGAATTGAAACCCTGACAATCTGGCATCACAACCTATGTTCTGATACCACTAAGCCCTACTTTCTCGTTTACGATTGCATCAGCATAACTACCCCCCTCTAAAACAGCAAGTAATATAACTTCATTTCAGGACATATAAGTATGCTATTTAAATGTCTTATAAAAATTATTTCACTGCTGTTTAATTTTCAAAGTATTTTAAAATGCATTCAATTATATACAACCAAATTTTGATTGAATTAGATCAATATTTCTTCCTTTGCCTAATAAAATACATGGCATGGCTTAAGTACAAGCATCTTAAAACTTTATAAAGGTGAAGATAAATAATACTGAAATATTCCATAAATATCTGACATCTGATATGCAAAAACCTAGTGACAGCAGCAGAAACAGATTCAAGAATGAATATACTGACTCAATATTTTGCAAGATAATTTAGTTAAAATTTTGATTATAATTGATATAATTTTTAAAAGGGAAAATTTGCACTCTTTTTTTTTCTGACTTCTATTTTCAATAAGCCAAGGCAAGCTTTCCTTTTATCTATGGAAAACAAACCATAATTATTTTCCACATGCACTAATTCATATAAGCATAAAATGTGTTATATATTAACTATGAACATTTTAACTTTATTAACCCACAGCGGCAATATGCTAGACATTATATGTATAATTTTTAGATGTTACACATACTAATATTTTTCTGAAATATTTCATAAGCTTTAATTAAATTAATAATAAAATGAAAAGTCTGAAGTAGAAATTGCCAAAAGAAAAACATACTCATCTAACAATGCTATAATTTAGCCCAATTATTATTTCAGGTTCTAAAATATAATGTTTCATAAACTATTTCTTTACATCATTAGTTGTTTATTTTAATATTTTTAACACCAGATGATTACATTTAAAAAAATAAGACTTTACATATCATCTATAGGTGTTTATAACAACCACTGTATATTTCATATGAGCACAGGGAGTTGCAACAACAACTTAAACATTTTTATTAGGAACGTCTTTTATTTCTCTGAAATGGGTCTTTTATTAAAGGAGAAAACAGGATCTAACTCTTGTTTGCTCTTTAAAGTTTTATTGTTTTAGCATTTTATACAGGGAGTGAGCATTAGCATACTCAGGAGAACTGCTGAAAGTAAAAGGCCGCAAGCTACCCACTGCATGGCTGATAGGATAATGCGGGGGTATAAAAACTTTTGTCTGATTGCTCACTTTCCTTGTTTTAGAGTACTGCTACTCTCAAGAGCATATATTCATGTTCTTTCTACGTTGAGTTTTATTACTTCTTTTGCATTATTTAATACATCTAAAGATACTTTCAAAAGACAAATTTTTCCATTTTGAAGAAGTAATGGTTTGGAACCTGATAAAACACATTAATGTTCACACTGTTTTTTTGCAAAGGTGATAGAATAAAAGCGCTATAAAGCAATTAGGCATAAGATCTTAAAGACATTAATACGTGAAACAATAAAATATTTGAAAAGACAACAAAAATAATATCCTGTGAAAGGTCAAGTGAAAATGGGTACATATAAAGAGGATATTTCTCTTTCAGACCTTTTACTAGACATTGAATGGAAAAATAAAGGAAGACAATATAAAAATGAGAGAAAGGACTAATCTTGCCTCAGTAACTTGTAATTAGGAGTGTGTGATGTTTAATTCTAGGAAGTATAGATATGAGTTACAACTCATCCTGACAGCTAAATGGTATACACACTTCATTATTCAGATTCAAATTTTTTTCCTCTGAAATTTCAGTTCTACTAGGGTCAATACATTTTGGTAAACAAGACACTAATATGCTTGACACTATTGAATAAAGCCAGGCATTTTTTAAAGTGTCATACACATTTTTGAAATCCACAATACATCAATTTTTAATACTACTACTCTCTCAGCTCCATTAAAAAGATGGTAGGGGAAAGATTTTAGAGTAATTAATGATATAGTTAGCTGCTAAATATTAATAGGAATCGTAGTCTTGCATAAAATATAACATATAAACCTTGCCAATACAGACGCACCAGTAATTAAAGTTGAATATGTAATTACACTGATTTATAAGACAGGCAAAAAGTTACACTTTACTAGCTTCTATGTAAACTGTGGCTAACAGTTAAACTTTGCATTTTACGGTTTATAAAAATGGGCAATATCTTGACTACAGTTCATAAATGGTTTAGAAACCTGTAATAGTAGTAAAAATTATGACAACTTATTCCATCATGAATATTCTTATTGTACCATACAAACCACACTGTGATAATGACCCATAAGATGTAGATTCATCTTAGGCACCGCTTTACACCCAAGAGAACATTAGTAGTACTAAGAATCTGTAGAGGACTCCTACAACAATAATTACAGGGCATTTGAGACAATCTAAAAAATGTATTCAAACCGAGTTTGATATACTTTTTCCTATTATGAACATTGTATAATTTAACTCCACTTAAATTTGTATTTTTAACTTACACAACAGTAAAAACTTCAGAAAATACTAAATTTAAGAAGCATATTAATATAGATTCTTCCCTTTAGGGAATCTATTAACCACACTTACATGTGCGGCTGAGGCGAGCAGCCTGGACTACTGTTCCCATTGCTGTCAATGTGATCCAGGGAACCATTGAGGTCTTCGTGGACAGCCTGCAGTAGGCCACTGGATGCATTATTGATCAGTCCAGGGTTACTTAGCAAAGGTAAACTGCTCTCTGCCAAGGCAGCCTAGTGGAATGAAGAGTGTGTGAAACAACTTTTAAAATGGCATTTAAAATAATCTTTAAAACATGTATCTTCTTTTAATGGGTTCAAACAATGAAACAGATATTTTAGAAGGATTAAAAGAAAATGTACTGAAAAAAAATTCCTAACTGGTTACTTGTGGCAGAGATGCAGGGAAAGTCAGTGTGATATGAAAATATAAACAATAGTTCTTGCAGCAAACTTTCTCACTCATGTTTCAACCTTTGGCATAATGAAATGTTGAATCCACACATGTAATGAAATACTCCAGTTTAATATAAGCAGTTGCTTTGCTTTTTAAAAATGGCCAGAGCTTAACTCAAAATAAAGAAGTCCTGACATTTGCCTCCTCTGCATAAAAATTATATATTATAATTAAACTTTAAAGTTTTTGCCACAAGCACCATGTTCCCCAACACTATGATGTGAAATCATTTATGACAGCCTGGATAAATATTAATGCATAGCCACATGCATTTGCAAAAGCTTCTATCAATCTAGCATTTGCAGAAAAACCGAGTGTTCCAGATTTTGCCACAGGGTGTCCTTCTTGCTTCTTCACATCAAAAGTAGCTTGAATTAGAACCAGTGCTGTCTATAGTACTAGGTACTACAACTTGAATGATAAACCAACTATTAAGAACAATCACAATCTTACCTAAATACAAAGATNGCCCCAAACATTCAAATAGAACAAAACTGGAAAAGTACATTTAATGATATTACCTGCAAACTGGCATTAAGAGCTGCTCCATAGCCTAAACTGGTAGGTATATTTTTTACTAAGGTTGGGCTTCTGGAAAAAAAAAAACATATAAAGATGATGTATAAGTCAAAATATAAAATATGTAGCTATCACTAGTCTCAGCTATAAAGATAAGTTCTGGTTTGTATCACACTACTAGTCCATACTGGATGGATCTAAGGTTACAGAAATAAGGTAATAGAGTTCAAATATATAATTCTTTACATAATACATATTGACTTGATTCAGGAATATAAGAAATGAAATATTAGACTATGGTGTTCAGGCAAAGTGAGACATGACCTTGAGGATCTTTAAACCTGTTTCCAGCTGCATGAAGGTTTCATTTTCAAGAAGAAAAACATTCATATATAATTTTAAGAATGTAAATACACAACACAATTACCAATTTGATGCAATCAGGAAATAATTAATAGTTAATTTCTAGAACACCATGAATTAACATAACAAATTACCATAGTTAATTAAATGACAACATAATGGATTAACTATTTCTTGAATGCAGAAATTAGCACATACTTGACTATAGAAATTAAAACTCAAGGGCCAATAATAGATAAAATACATTAAAGTCATGTCTTCATATTAGGCAGTGAAGTTTAGGGGAATAAGTAAATTCTACATGGAGTTAATTAAGCACAAAAGGTGTTTTATTATATTTTGGACTTA